TCATGATACAATGACATTTTGTCCTACAGACAATAGAGTCAACTTACACGGCGTTTGCTTGCTATTTTAGTGGTGTAAATCGACGCTGTCCGCGTTTTTGACGCAACCGGTCTGACGTTAAACTAGCGTCGCCTTCGTGATCATGATCCACTACAATATAACACATTCTGATGATAGCCTTATGTTGCATCTCTTGCACGCATAACGTGACGGTATCAAGGCATGATGATGCGTGTGTTTTATGTCAAAAAGTGACAAATCGACACCACCGTCAGCCACTGGGAGGCTCTCGCAAACTGAACATTGCTGGTTCTAGATATACCCATGATTTGGAGCCTGATCTGCGTTTAGTATTGAACAACAACGCGTCGTTTGTCGCGTTATATTTCATCCAACGATCAGCCGCCAAACAGACACGAAAAACTCAACCTGAGGGTTTAAGAATAGCCATTACACAACACAATTAAGGGCGAATATATGTCGAAATCCAGGCATGTTTTCTCTTTTTACGGACCTTTTTTACCACAAATCTCTGCCCGGTTATGTTCATAAACTATCGACAACAAAATGATCAATCGAAGAAATGGATGTGATTAAAAAGAGAACAAAGTAGAATGGTTTTATTATAGCATTCTAAAGCGAATCTAAGTCGGCCTCTACCCATACTTACTGTTTCTCCGATCTCATCGTTCAACTCCTTCTCTTCAGTCCGCTCGTTCATCTTCCTTACAGCGCCTCCTACATGTTAGGCCTCGCTCTGTCTGATCAATTTTCTTTTAAGAATTAACTTCCTTTCCTAAGCCTTCTACCCATGCTTGGCTTCCTCTGGAACTGGACCCTGTAGACCAGCCCAGGGTGGCCTTAGTACCCACATAGGAAGTATGAATAGTTTTGACTGCTTGTATGAGAACGGCAGAAAGGCTGCTGTTCAACTGCCTAAAATTGTCACGATGACAAGACAAACTGTAGTAACTACGGCCTCTGCAGCTGCTGCTACTACCGCTCCACCGATAAGCTCTAGAACGTAATAGGCACTTCTAATGCCACCCATGCCTATGACGTCCCCCCTAATATCGTCGCAGCAAAGGGTGCCGGTAATCGTGGCGATGCTCGTGGTACTGGTGTTTCCGTACGATTACTGTCGCGACTGCAGAGACTGCTCAAGACGACGTCGATGGCACACTCCTTAAGTCCATCCGTCCGTCCGGCTGGCTGGCTGGCTGGCTGGCTGGCTGTTGTTCCAGAAGAAGAGGCGATCCCGTCAATGGCGGCGGTAGCGACGACGACATCAGCTGCAACGGTGCTACCAGCGCCACCGTCTACCACCACTATTTGGTAACAGCATATTCTCGTTAGTCGCAGCAGTAGTGATAAGATGGCTTCCACATTTTCTCTCCTGTTGTGTGTCCTGCTGGTCGTCGTCGTTTTTGTAGCCGCAGTCGCATATATGTAGTGGCTGATGCACAGCATCTCTATAGCGGTGCTATATTTCGATAGAAGGCAGCAGTGTGGGGTAGAACGTGCTGCTATGTAAGGAGCCTTTTCCATGTCTGGTGGTTCAGCTTCTAGTTGGTACAGACACGTAGTTCGATGGCGCCGACCCACGAACCAGGCAATCGGCCAGAAAGCCAACGGCTGTAGCGACGATTTCTGGAAGAACAACGAGAGTAAACCGCCGCAGCAAGAGCAACGGGGGAAAAGCTTCTTCTTCTCTAGCTTCCAGGGATGCGCGCTGTCTTGTCGACTCCCTCGTCCCCTTTTCTTTTTTCTTGGCTGCTCTCAGCCATTGGCAATATCATCTCCAGTAGCAACGGCTCAAGACGACGAGGAGATGGCCAACATCATTGAGCATCCCTAGCTTACTACAATTATTACTATATAACGTGCTAGTAGCACGGGCTACAGACGGATACGAGCATCAACTGCGGCGGCGACAGCAGCAGTAAAAGCTGCCGGCGCCTGCAGCAACGCGCCACGGTCGCTGCCAGCACGAGCTCCATCAAACGATGAGAGCTTTTGTAAAAGATTCTCCCCAGCGTGTGCATGCGTGTTTGCAGTGTGATGTAATGGTCAGCCACGTGCTGCTGGTCGGCGATCGTGGATATAGTGATTGTAGCGGTTGTTGTTTTAAGCTTATTTTATTGTTGTTCTGCTATAACATTAGTTGAACGGGGAACCCGGCGGGAGGCCTGCAGACGGGTGGGGATAGTGGGACAAAAGGAAGCTAAATGAGATCTCGTATGCAAGACTATTACCTCGATTAGAGCAAACGCAAGCCACAAACGACCGAGGACAGTTATAACGTCAGCAGCAACAACAGCAAAGCAACAATTAATCGAACACAATGAAATGATGCTGGTGTTGTTGCTGCTTTATGGCAAGCCCGATTGATTACGTAGTCGCATTCGATGCAACTAAGTACCATTGCCTTACACTATCCAACATGTAAAGCGCGTAAGCATAAACTCATTCACTTTCTAAGATACGCCAAGACCAATTCAGACTAATAGCTACCGTTCTACCGTCCCTACCACGAACTGCACCGATACTACTCGCAGCATTTCACGAAAAAGGCGAAAAATTCAGCGACCGTTCTTTCGACACAAGCACCATCACTTCCATCGGCTGCCTCTGACTGTTCTTAACTGACGGTGCGCTTCATTCGTCGACACCCGGAGCGACAGACAGAGAGCGTTGTTGGCACATAACAATGGTACTAAGCCAAAGTTGGCATCCAGAACGGCAGCGATGCTGGCGGCGGCAACTAAACGAAACACGGATGGCGGGTTCCACGTACCGGCTACGCGCGCTCAACCGTTTTGGTTGTGATGCTGCGGCGGCAGCGGCAGTAGCGCCATCTAAAATATGAGCTGTTGACGTTTACTAAAGCTACAGATATCAGCTCGAGCGCTACTGTTGCCACAATAACTATGTAGGCTAAAGGCAGGACACAGCGAAAATTGAGGGGAGTGAGCATTCCAGAATGATTTTCGAGGACTCCCAAACTTTGCCTTCGGTAATGTACCATTTCTGCTTTGCGTAGAAGGGTCTCATCGTTGAAGAGCGACATGGACCGTAATAACTGGCAGTTGTAACGATATGCTATTGTCATGATTTTTTTCCTCTATCTTGCTACGTTGTTTCCGTTCCGTTACGGTCTTAGATCAACAATATATTAGGAACTGGCAAATTAAATGATCACATTAAATACTAGACATAGATAGTCTGAGCAAGCCGTCAAAATTGTTCTTTATTTCTATTTACTTAGCGCCTTTGGCTGTTTGTATTGTGTGCACAATTCCTCACAGTCACTACTTGCATATCGCTTTGAGAGCTTGCCTCCACTAGAAAATCTAGCCGGGCTCAGTCTTACTGGAATTATCTGGGATTTCTCTCATAGACTTATGAAACGGAATGGCTACCATACGCCACGATAACTTTTGCCGACGCTGAAATCTAAACCCGCGATGGCCGCGAGTTTATAGCTACCATAGTAACGTCCTCAAAAATATACCAGAAGCAATTACCTTATGGTACCAGTTTGGCCGCTGTCATTATCTAACTAACATACGCGTTATCTACGGATACAGAAGGATGTTTGTAGCAAAGCATCGAGATTGCAAGCTTTAAAATTATATTAATGCTTAAGACCTGTGGATAGAACTCGGTTGTAAAAGCTAGACCAATTTTCTCTTGCATCTTCCTAAGCACGCCGTTATTATACCCAGTGGCCACTCATATTCTATAATAGAAAATAGCCGATAATTCATTGATCGAATATTATGTTCGTCTTTTTTTTTTCGATAGTAATGATCAGTTGGCGTATAGAGCTAGAAATATAGATCGTTTGGGCTATAATATTTGGTGCTTTCTCGTTTCAGTCGCGGATACCATTAGAGGACTTAAAATATAGAATGGACGATTAATCACATGTTTACTGGCAGCACAAGATCAAAAAGTACTGTTTTTAAACCGTAACCATTATAGTCATAGCTATCTACATAGTGGCACAATGACATTCGCTGTAACTTTATTTATAGCAAATCGCCATTTGATTGCCAACAATCGATTGATCGATTTGACAACAGTCCCTTGACTTACTGTCGATTTGGTTGTCCAGTAACGTTAGCTTACCATTAATTGACCACAAGACGTTTACGTGGAATGTTTCTGTCTATCTATTTTTATCTATATTGACATATACGTTCGAAAATAAACATGAAAATTCTCCCAACAGCGCGAAAAGGCTATTGCTTAAAAAGGGCAGCATCCCACATGCGCGCGACGCTGTATGTCTGTCCTGTGCGAGCAGATTTCGGGATCATTTTATATCATATAAATAGAGATGCATATATCGACGCCTGTACGTACGTAGCAATCAAGTATGCGCAGTACCTTACACGCTAAGACACCCGTCGCATACCTAAAAAAACATCTGATCGTTTGTATGATTGTTTATGTTTACGTTTTGTGCTGACTTGCGATCATTCGATCAATTCGGTACACAGTCGTAAAGGGAACTTAATAAAAATAAATCAATTCAATCAATTTAACCCGTTACTGTAGCCCGACTAAAAATGAAGCTGTCCATGTAACTGATTCCTAACTATCCTACCGAATTCAGGTGTTAGTATAGCTACTTCTGACACTCACAGACTACCAGGTCAGAAGGATTTTATTGTTCTAGCGACATAGGCAAACAAGCTAGCTTGCGTGATGGCTCTCCCTTTTTTAAGGTTCGAAACAAGGCGTGGATACGTTTCGTCTCGTGCCGGCAGGCAACTGCCTCAAGCACCAAATACACAAGTCGGAATATTCAGGTTAGATGGCTGTTTAAGGCTGCATTTAATAGATTCGCTTTTCGTTCCAATGATGAAGGCATTCCTTCCGTTATGAATGCCGTCTATTAAGCTTTTATTCTTTGGTCAAAAGTTGTCCACTTACTAAAATGAGCTATTGTAATATGAGTAATACCTTTCGACTTCGTTTACCCCACTCACCTTCATCGAGAATCCGTTCGACGTGAAGAAACACATTGGGAAATGCTGCGAGTTGTTTTCTGTCCTTTATCAGCTGCGCGAGATAATCGGCTATACTGGCTGTGTTGGCTGGATGGGGTACCCCACCTGTCGTCGCAGCGATGCCCACATGTACGTTTGTATGGTTATTCAGACTCTGCTGCATCGCGTGCTGCGTCTGTTGCAGGGTCTGTGAGCCGTGCATGATGCCTATCAGACTGCTCAGACTGCTTAGGCTGTTGATATTGCCTCCAAGGAGGCTCGCAACTCCAACGCCAGCAGTAGCCACTGGCTGCGCCTGTCTGTTGTTGTCCCTCGTTTTGACGGCGGATGATCGGTTCCGACTTTTGTTGTTGTTATTGTTCTGGTTGCCGCTGTGGCTACCGATATGATGTTGTTTGTTGCTGTTATTATTGTTGTTGTGGATTGTGTGATTATGCTGTTGGAGCTGTTGTTGTTGATGATGGCCGTTTCGTCCAACAATGGTGTTCTGGACGCCAGATGATGCCCCACTGATATAGTATAAATAGGGTTTGTTCTGAGCCACGTAGAACAGGTTATTGTTGTTGTCGGCGAGCAAAAGTGAGCTCTCGCCCATCACCGGAGTAAACTAACTCCGACGCGATCCGCCACCGGCGGTGTTGTTCGTTAGGGTTGATCGTGTCGATGACAGTCCACTCTGTCTTTCGTCTATGGCCTTGGCTTTTCACACGCGGGCCTCTAAGCCCGAAGTCTATCGAAGCTGCAGCGAAGTGAACGCAACAAAGAGCAAACTAGTCCTGTTGGCCTCCAAATAAAGAGACGAAACAGAGAAAAGGCTGCAGTAATCGCCTCGCTCTATTAAGCAGACACACAACGACTCCAAAAGAACGCACTCAGTGCACCGTCGATCGCACAGCTAAACACATGAAACCTTGGGGGTAGCTGCAGCAAAACCTATAGAAATGACAGTATCCTGTAGTAACAGCAGCAGCGATACGCCTGCCGCAAAACAGTGGCCGCACAGACACAGATACGCAAACGAGGAGAAAGGAGATAGAATGAACACGATCAGTGTTGCCGGCCGCGCACCTTCTATCCAATACGTTCCTCTTCTTTGTCGGTTTTACTGTTGTAGCATCGATAACGAAGTTAGCCGAGTATGGATATCACGCAGCTGACTTGCCGACACAGCTGATCGACTACCGTTATTGGGTTCAGGAAAAAATGAGTTTTCCTTATTTTCGCTCAGTTTCATGCAGGGTTTAGTAATGAATAGCACTAGAAGTAAGCGCGATCTCGCTAAACACTCTGAAGCACATACGTGAGGATACAATGACGGTAAATCCGTTTACTAACTAGAAAATCCACGAGTTGTTGGGAAAAACAACTAAAAAAAACACTACCATTACCACACACGAAAAAAAAAAAAAAGAAGAACAGTTGAGCACACAATCCCTTCGTCTATACAATCTGGGAAAAGGCGGGGGTGATTTAGTTCGGATTCCCCTTTTTATCACTTCACTGTGTCCAGCTTAACTTGGCTATTGGCGAAGCTGTCGTGAAAAGCCTGATATTGTGCATGGCGGCTATCAGTTTGCCGTTTGTTGGACGTTTAATGTTGCGGTCCTTTAGGGGCTTGCATGTGCCTCGCCGCATGAACGAACCTCATTACCACGATATGCTTTCGCTAAGTTCCTGCGCTTCGGATATATATTAGTGTAGCGCTGTAGAAGCACTCCGTAGATCTTTTTCGCTTGGATACTAATCGCTTGTTTAGCGCAGCAATGCCCGTTGAGTTATCGCAAGCGCCTCGCAACACGCTCCCTGACGATTGACTCGTACACGTTTTTGAGTTACCGCTGCCGTTTCGTTCGAAAAATACCAGCTCTGTAATTAGCTAGCTAGTTAGCTACCTTTGCCGACGCTGTGGCAGACGCAGTCATAATCACCGATCGGCCGACGCTTCGAAGAGTATGATCACTGTTAGCAACAGCTATAGCACTGTCACAGGGATGTATCGTTTCGATGGCGATGCCACAGCAGCTCGACGCTGCCGCAGTTGTCGCTTTGATTTCTTCATGTAACAGCAGCAGCAGCAGCAGCAGCACCGGCAGTCGGTTTAAGCAGCAGCTCTCAATAGAAACAATGAAACGTTACTATATCAGAACAATTTAACGACGTAACGGATACGGTGAGTAGGTACAGGGGCACGAAAAACGGGTTCGACTCGACGCGCTGGCACTCAATTGCCGCCCGGCTCTGACTAGCCACCGTTCTGGCAGCACCGCTACTAATAGTAATGCTGGTGGAACTGGTAAGAGCGGCGAAGATGGTGATGGTGGCGCTTCTGGTGCTGCTGATGCTGGTCTTTTTGCCACGGCACCGGCGGGTCTGCGAGTCGGCACGCTGAGCTGAGCTATGCTGAATTTCCGAGCTGTCCGTCTGCCGCCGCCAGCGTCGCTGTCGCTGCCGCCGCTGCTACGGCTGCTGCGTGGCTGTCGTTGCCGCAGCGCTCGCCCACTCCCTCAGCCAAATAGGACCTGGGACGCCGCGCCGACCCTCGCCGCTCACAGACAATGCTCGCAACAAGAACGCCACGGTGCGACGACACAATGTGCCGGGCGTACCACAACGACAACGACTACTAGCAGTGATGAACCACACGCAACATACACGGCGATGTGGTGAGTTGGACTGAATTACTATGGAAACAACAGCAGCAACGGTATAGACAAGGTTACGTACAGACGCCGTAAAGTCGAATGGTGGCAGTCCTACTACGCCAGCGACTCGATCAGAACTGCGTGAACCGCACTGCCTTGATGCCCTACATCCCGGAGGAAATAACCGTCAGAATGAATTGGAGATCGAAACCATAGTACTTCTACCAACACTAATATATTGTCAGGTTACTAACGCAACCAACCCGGCGGCAGTAGTTTGGCCGGTGCCGGCTTCCCTTGAGGTGGCCTATTCTCCTTTACAGGCATATATATATATATATATATATATTTCTTCCTCTATGTCGGAATCGCTCTCTGTCTCTCCTTTTGTCAGATGAGCCTATGCTGTTGTAAGCGTTGTCTTGCCTTGTGTTTTTTTCCTGTTCGGAATCTTTTTCTCGGTCTTCGAGTACCGGTGCTATCAACGGTACAATTCTCCGTGCGGCCAGTACTTGTTGGCTGGCTTCCTGATACGTGATTTTCAATGAACGCTCTCAGATCCTGGTACACTTTTCCCTTAGGGCAGCAGCAGCTGTCTGGGGAAGCAAAGCTACTACACGGGGTTTAGCACACTCTGGGTCGGGGACTGGCCTGAGACACAGACAGCCCGACGTAGGATGTTTGATAAGATGCAGTAAACCGAAAGGACTACTACTTATCTTTCGTCTTCTGGGTAAGCCGTTTGCTTTCAGTGGAGCTTCTACATAACCATTCTAGCTCTTTGACTCTGTTTCTAAACGTGTTCAGTAGAAAATAAGCTGCATTTCGTTTTCCTTTAAAAGAAACCCGCTGGTTTCCTCCTTTCCCAGCCAAACAACAGGAAAGATCCGTACACGGTGTTTTCTCGATTGCTTCCAGTACAAAAGCCCGTTAGATCTAAAAAGAAAGAAATAGAGAAATAAAGAAAGAGAGAGGTACCGAGAGAGCTAAATATAGAAGCTCACTCCATTGAGCTCTGTGTGTACGGCTTACGGAACTGCTTATAAAATCGTAAATTCTTCCTACTTTATTGTGGCAAAACCAGATTTTCTGTCATGATACGCTTTCAGGCAAATTTAATTAATAAAAACGTCAGACTCTTTCTGTGATACACATGTGCTTAATTACACTGATGCTTTACTGTAATCTGGCATTTTTTTTACCATGCTTCTTCGTTTTTGTCAGAGGCAAGTATTGTTTGTACTGTTGGTCTACCCGATGAGGTTATCTTCTGAGTTGTCGTCGTTGATGACAATGCCTTACTTATCCATATGCTCGTCTTACTATCAGTGCAGCTCGGTCTTCTTGTAGCAGTTTAACTTACGATAATGCCACACAAAGGCTTCATGCGCGCCGAAAAGTACTTCGACTTAAATACGACTTGAAGAGCGGGTAAACAGGCAGGGCGAAACAGCTGACCTGTAAATAGGCCGATCGCTTTATGGTTCGCTTCACCGACTTGTGATATGACGCTAGGCCGACAGGATTGGTTGTGGCATGGACAGGTGTGCTGCTGTTGTTGTTCCTGCTGCGGCTGGCCCTGCTGCTGTGACTGCCCGTGGCCCTTGTTCGTGCTTCTGGTCGCCAAATGCTGTTATTGTTGCATTGACGGTCTACGCACACACACGTACGCACTTTTTACAGAGCAAATTACTAGATTTTCGATGACAAGTTACTCGATTCCTCACAAAGCTCAGATAGCACCCACTGCGACTGTCTTTTCGACTATACCGCCGAAGTGTTTTTCACAGAAATAGAGAGGCTCAGAACTTTTGAAGATGGACAACATCTGATATTCGATCGTAACTTGAATGTATGTTTCTGTTCGTTCGTTAACTCGCATGTCCGTTTGCCCCTTTCTCTTTCACATTCATCGGTTGTTTTCCTTTCTCTCTGGTTCGGGTTAAAAAATGCCCCGCTTTTCGTCGCCGTTGCCGTTACTGTCGCCTGTGTAGTGACCATCAATTCAGCAGACATTTGCCCCTGCGCTTGTTTCACTCATACAGAGAGGTGTACCAGAAACACGGCATGAGTATGGTGTTGCTGGATGCCACTACGTACGAAACGAGAGCGACGATAGTCGGCTATCTCTGCAGCCAAGCCATGATGACCATCCATCTATCTCGGTTATTGCAACAATATCGTCATTAAAAAACACCGGCGGTATTATTATTACTGCATTAACGTATACACTGACGAACGCCTGCGTCTGCTGGGTGTTGTCACGTTTTTGCTAGATGCGGCAGTTGCTGCTGTTGAAAGTGTCGATAGCTAGAGCGCTTGGGACCGCTGATTCGCTGTGTTCGTTTGCCACTAACAACAGGAACAACAAGAACAATTCCAAAAGGCCTGCTAAACGGATGAGTTACGTTTTGCTGAAAAACGGACTGTCAGAATCACATACATGCACGGAGACACGCTCACGGTGTCACGACGACATGGCGATAATGCTTACGATGATAAGTTACCACTGTTATTCGCGCCGTAGCGCACCCAAATCAACTTTGGGTACACAAACACAACTGGTCGAACCTGGTGTTCTTTTTATTCTTTCATTAGTCGAATGTAGTAGCGAACCTAGGGAAAAGCTGCAGAGGATGGAGCTGCTGTGGAGTACCCGCAAACTCGCCTAAGTGTTTCTTTGAGTCAACTTAAAGAGACCAATGCAGGCTTTCTAATCTCGCCGTATTTCGTCTGGCTGTCAAAAGTCGTGAGCACTCGCCACTTTTCTCTCTGAATATTATCGAGTCTCTAACAGCACCACTCGCTGCTGTTCACCGCATCTACTCGAGCTCGATAGCTGGTAATAGGCAGTCAGGCTGACAGAGAGCTCATGATGGCTCTCTCAGTCATTCAATCACTCATACGTTCGTTCCCTGACTGGCTGCTGCTACTGACCGCCGCTAGACCATCGCTAACCGGCGACCGGAGCGCCAGTCGAGATGAGTCGATGCTGAGTCTCTGTGAGTGCTGTTCTTGCTGCGGTTGTTCGTGTCGTTATCGCCGGTACTGAGCAACAAGCAGTGATGGCAGCATCGAACGCTGGTAATGGTCAATAATAGATTTCTGATAACTCTTGCCGCCGCTGCCGTCGTTGGCAGATAGCTCTCTTTTTTTTTTCTGTATCGTCTGTTGGTTCACTGTGCTTGTAGTCGTTGTTGTTGTTGTCGTCGATCGTAACGTCGTGCTGGGTCCGCCATGGCGCTAAAGCAGCAGAAGCGGCAATGGCGGGCGGAGCAACTTGATTTGTTGCGGCTGTTAATGCTACTTTTAGTCGCAGCATCAGCTACAGCAAAAACAGCGCTTGAGGCGACAGCAGCAGCACTAGCAGCAGCGTCATAGCCACACGCAAAGAGACAGTGGCAGCGGCGGCCGTCAATCGGCGGCCGTCAATCAGCGGCGACCGACCATTACCATTGGTGCGATTGCTGGTGTGGAAGAGAACACAAACTCCAACAATGACGGGCAGCAGACGACACCGGAGAGAAGACGATGTCGACAACATCTGCTCGGAATTTGACAGTACGCAAGGGATCAGTATACGAAGACGGAAATACACTTCACTGCAATTGCAGTGACCAGTCTGTGACAAGAGGCAGACAGGAATCGAGCGGCAGATGGCAATAAAAGACTCAGCGTCAACGGCGCCGCTGTCCTTGCCGTTTTTTGTCGTCTGGTGCCTCCGGTGGGAAAGAGCAGACGACGCGCGTTTTCATGGTGGATAGAAGATTTAAACTGTATACTGTATAGCACGCACACTATATAATGATATACTACGGCAAAAAATCAAGCGAATGCCGCATTGAACTGCAGTCGCAGGTCGTAATAGCGCGAGTAACGGAAACGCACCAACCTGCACTTGAGGCATATATAACCAGCCACTGGAAAAACAACATACGGCTGACGGAGATCGGGAAGTCATTTTAGGGACGAAGCGCAATATTTCACACATACGCAACTAATCGGGTAGCCATTATTAATGTCGGCGCTCGGAACCAAACCTTGAAAAATGCGGGCGAAGACCTTAGTGTTTCACACCTGTTATTGTTGCTTTGCTTTCGGTAAATTAGAGCAAACAAAAGTAAACTTCTGTGAGAGATCTTTATACGAAATAAATAAACTCAAACGACTTAAGCGGCTTGCTGTTAACATGATGAACTAAAATAATATAGGACAATATCTTTTTATCGCTAATCTTACCGACATCAAAAAGACAGCACAGTGTTCTAAATAAAACATTTATCTTTTATTTAACATTTCATAAATCGAAATTCGTTATGACTTCACATAACGTTTCTTGTGTAAGACTTGTCCTCGACGCAAAAATGAAGCTAAACCTTCAAGGCATGGTTTTGTCCGTGCATTTTTATTCTAACGATATCAGTTAACTTCTAATCGGAAATAAAACAGCCTAGAGCTATACCTAATCAGCATGAATATTACCTATCGATACAGTACCTGGCCTTCATGAAGCCAAAATAATTGTCTTAGTCATCACGAAAAAAAAAAACGTGTCCACGTGAACTTACGCAACTAATGCTGTTTTCATCTACCGTCTTGAACTCTATAATCGTGGAGACGCAGGGCCGTTGACAAGCAATCATCACGTATCATCGTCGTTTAATAATCGATTCAAGTGAATAAATCTCAAGTTTCATTTTAGTTGACCCTTCTGGACAATTCCTACAACGACTGAACGAAGGTACCGTCTGATTCGAGGCACCAAAATAATTAAGTAGAACTTGTCGTCACGGTGAGGCAAACATGTTCGAAGTACTGCTTGACGCCAATATCGGACATGAAGTCCAAAACATTTATTTTGGATTTGGCTAGAAATAAACAAAACAAATAAACTTACTGGCTTCGTTACGCTCTCCTAAAGTTAATTATTATTATCGTTATGTCATCTATTATTCTGTACCCTTGGCATTATAATAAAATGTACGTTCTCTCCAGAGAGCAATCACACATATATCTGGTTTTGCCTTCCTCTTCTTTTGTTTTTAGCTATTTTAGTTATAATATTGTTTTTCAGATTAAAGCACTCTCGTGATAAAGCATACCTGGGTTCTCTATTTTATGTATCTATGTCAGCGCGTACTGTTATTTAGCTAACTGAGCGTAAGCCTCATCTGAGTAGGTGAAAGAAAACGATCTGGTTCTCCAACCAGTCCTAATGCCGTGTACTGAAACAATTAATAAATATTAAATAATGAGTTGAATCAGCCGCAGTACGCATAGTTTAATCACAAATCACTGCTATGTTGCCATCCCCGATTCACAAGCAGTCTCTGCCTGTTGTCCTCGCGTATTGCATGTATTTCATTACAGGTCCTTTGGATTAAGATCATGTCGGCTGACAGACAGTTGGTTATAATTTATGATGTACGTATACTGGTCTATTCTATCTTTAGAAATTGATTGAACTTTTGTGCTTTGTTACCCTGTCACAGTGTTCACTTGAGGCTTGTTCTTTGTTCATCTCTATTGTCAACTTATATGAGGCGAGATGTAAGCGGACAAGAAAGCCATTGAAATAAGCAAACTCATTCTCATCAACAAACATAAACAAATAATTACTATCATTAATTGACAAATGGTTCTTTGTGTTTGTCCCATTTCAAAAGAAATTCTTGTTTCTATATATATATATATATATATATATACATGTTGGCATGAATACAAAGTCTCAATGGTTTCCTGACCTTGACTGTGTGTGGTATTCGCTTGTTTGTTCGCAAAGAAAAGCTACTTGACCAGCGCTTTCAAGGAAAAAATGCGCTACTAGCTATATCTCATGATGTTAACTCTACAAAGACATTATCTCCACACATTCAAATACGGACTACCATGCTGTACAGAGTAGTGGCTTACATTTTTTCAATGGATGGTTTAATATATGTATAGTTTTTAAAGTATCTGTTTATTGACAATAAACTGACGTATCCAAATGATATATAGCAATGCCGAGGCAGCGACTCTTAAATATCTTGTGGCACTCATTTGAACTTAAAGACAAAGTGTCTTAACGTAGAACTTACGATAATAAGGTATCACCAAATGCCTCGTTCTAGCTAACTGACTGGACAGTTCTACGATATTCGGAGTGTTACGACACTCCGAATATGCCTTTATCGACGAATGCTTTTATCGAAGAAAAATAATAGAAAGCAGCTACAGCCGAGAAGCGACAAACAATCGGCTGTTTAGCATTTGGTATAGTCATGCATACGTTGACAGCGCTTATAGTAAGCTCAGATATATTTCTCTCAGTATTTCGAATTTATTCCTTGACAGAACATTGGTCAGCAAATCAAAACAGACTCCACCCGCCCATTTCGAATACAACAACTACAACCAACCGACATATCGACATAGCGGTGAAGATCCCAAGCAGGCCGTTACATTTCCAATGCTTCTGCAAAACTCTCTGGCCCGTGTTTCCAATATAAGTAAATGTATGATGGTAGCAACCAAACAGTTGTCGATAATTATGACAGTGTTACGCACAATCAAAACTGAAAACGACAATCATCTATTCAGCGATATAAACCATGAAACAAGGAACTACACAGCTGACCACGTTACGACCAAAAGAACAGGGTCCTCGAAATTTGAAACAAAGTAGTTCAAGACTATGTTCCACTGCGATATAACAAGTCATCGAGTATGCTTGGATCAGTAACGGTGATGACATTTACATAAATAGTAGATGACCTTGCCGCTAAGATATCGGACAACGCTCGAATATTTTCTCAAAAGCGAGCTTAACGAGAGTGCCAAACATAACGCTAAAATGAGTTACTGTACTGCGAGTCTACAGCAACAAACCGCGCAGTAGCGGCATGACTATACAACCGCTCTACCCAGTTGGGCTGGGGCAGCCATCTTGTGGCCCTGATTTCCGCCTCTACCGGAACCATTCAGTAGGAAAGTCCGATCAATAATTTCTAGTGGTCCCCACAATAGTACAAGTAGTAGTGTACAATGGTAATGAATACCCATACTGTCTAGGTGTGCAAACGTGGTCATGATTCGAATTTGTTCCTAGGCGCATCTTGATCCTCCACTATAAATTCATGCAATAAAAGAGTTGATGACTACATAAAAATTCCCTGATTTGCTCAACCCCTCCAGATTACCTGTTATTCGGATTTGTGCTTCCACAGTACCAAAATTGTAGGTGGAACCGACCTTTAGAAGTCATGTATGGAAGGGGTAACGCTACCTAGGAGACGACGGAAATGGCCGGGCTCTATCTGCCACCTCGACTGTGGTCACGTAGCCAGAGTCCTTCGACGGACCACAAATTAATTATTGCCTTTGCAGCGGGTAATTCGTTTACAACAACAACCGATAGGGCAAGCTACAGGCAGCTCGGGAGCTAATCCAAAACGGTCAATGAGTTTGCTGGTCAACAAATCCAACTATGAATTCACACTAAAATGCGGATTTCTGACAAATGTCGATAGTTCGCTGGCAAACATCAAGTGGCGATCCCGATGAGCTCCTGCTCTAAGGTTGACTATCACATACTCCCACAATACTATGTTTCTACAGCACGAAAACAAAACCGAAGGTGGGATACATATAGATGTTGTGCGGCATGAGGCAGGGTGCGCGCAGGTCCTGGCCTCCGTAGATATCTACGAAGAAACTCTGGAGGCGGATACTGAAGGTCCAACAGCTAGGGTCGGTCAAAAAAGAAATAGGAGTGGAAAACTGGGTGAATATGAAGTAGTGGGTGAAACTATAGCAATGAGAATCGCGAACGCGTTACGAGCACTGAACAACAGCGGCTGATGCCAGAAAACAATACAACCTTCAAATTTGCTTGTTTTTAACGACACATCTAACTGTTCATCGCGGTGTTTTGGCGTTATGAGATTGACACACTGTTCTGGAACGAAAAGGTCCTGTAAATGCTCCAATGCTGTCGCCGAAGCTACCTCGACGGCGCAGCGCGTTCGATTATTAAGGTGCTAGGAGCGTGACCGTGATTTAACCGTACACTTTTTTAGTAAACGACCGGGAAGGACCTCATATTTGTTTTTGGTCCTCGATCGTTTACAGGCGCCGCGAGATCCGGGTACTGTTTTTAGTACCACGGACTTCCTTTTAGTGCTAGATCAACACTAACCTGTCTTGAATAAGGTCGTCGCAAAGTATAAACTTCGACTTGAATCACTTCACTTTCGTCGAATTGCAGTATTAAATTTCGCCGAAGGGGATCCACGATCATTCTGGCTTTCATGGCAATGCTCACCAAACGGAAAACTAAGCAATTCTGTTCGACTATTTCATGAATCGCGGAGTACAGTTGACTAAAGTGTGCTTTGGAGATGGCGAACCCCCAAAGGTATTCAGCCTCATCTGGTCTCCGACTGTTGATCATTTTTGCGTAGAGCTCACTTCGCTTGCACGGGAAGCCAACATACGTTAGCATAAGGCTAAATACAGCATTAAAGTTAATGGAATCCGTTTCCAGTTCCATTGGTTAGCTGTCACTAATATTATTGACGCTTCGCACCGACCTATTCATTCAACAATTATAATGTCGAAAATGATTTACGACGACTCAATTAGCAGCTTGCCACTCGAGACTTTTCAGGACCGAGTTTAAAAGCCCAGCGATTTACCCGAACTAAGCATCATCCGTCAGTACAGCTCAGAAAGCAAACCAGTCGAACCGTGCTATATCAGGAGAAGGTCTAAAATCGCTTACACCTTTCTTGACTGCTCGCAGACTATCCACGCAAACAATGCAAGCGACTGCGCGCTCCTAACGGTCGAATCCCGGCTAGCTTCGAGTAACAGCGACAGCCCTGCAGCGACCCCTACCCGGTCTGCAGCCGTTGACTGTACAGAGGGCAGCACGAGCAAGGTCATTTGTTGTATAATGAAAATCTTCTACTGCACCGTTGGCGTATCGTGGAAATGCGTAGAACGCCTGCCTGTACTCGAAATACAATAATTGCAGGCACCGTGAGGATGGTATTTTTGAATGATCCGAACACCGTGAATATCTCGATGCTTGGCAAACTTCACGTTAAAACTCGTCGCGAACTGAAAGTGCCGCTCGAACCTAGAAAATCTGAAGCTCCATAAGGAAAACAGATTTGCGAAGAGCTATCTTCTACCGAAGATCGAGAGCAACCGACCGTTGCCCGCCGTCGTCTTCGCTACTGTCACTGTTACCTGCGCCATTATGCACTTCAACAAAGACAGCAGCTTTAAAAGTGTACTTCGAAACCTAGTTACGATACTGAAGTTTATTTGATTGTGCCTGCACTGTAGAAGGAAAGCCGCTAGGCCACTAACTATGTCATTCCACACCGGGTTTCGCCAGAGAAGTTCATTTTTAAACCGACGCAGCAAAATTACTTAGCACTTGAATTAACAACTAACAAAGCTGGCGGACGACCACCAGCGAAATCACCGCTTGTCACCCCCACACTACTTATTGACGATGCTAACCCGATAAAGGCAACGGCTCAGAAGCCAGCACCAATAAGTACCCTCTTTGTTTCGCCAAGCTGTTTATTAGAGGGTCAAAAGTCAACGCATTTCAATACTTTGGGAAATTGGCATTACAAAGAAAGACGCTTTTCTGAGGTATGTGAGAAAGTTAACTTAGCCATCTTACCCAAGCCGAGGAAATAACCTCTTCGGAGCACAACACTCAAGACCCCAAATGACGTCATTATAAAAAATGTTGAAGACAAAATTGAGAAAAAGTTAACTTCGTTGGCCTTTGCAAAAAAGAGTTCGCTCTGACAGCGACCCAAAGGCGTCGGACAAAACACAGACATAGAGAAGGTTAAAACAACCAGGGAAAAAGGACCTCGTACTTTTCGGTCCCCGTAAAATCAAGAGCGCGTCTGACAAGAGCAACTGGAAAGTCATTATAAGATCCCGCAAGTTTAGGGAAACAACCTCTTACCTTCAAGGGTTGATCTCCTCACACATATAGGGGATTCAATAGGGAGACTATTTACGGGGCACAACAGCAAAGGCTATAGGAATCCCTCTAAGATGCGTCCTGGTGGAACTTTGCAAATTGCATTCTGAATAACGAACTTACCCGCCGACGTTAAGCTGCAAAAACAAAGGAACTGTACAAAAAATATCACATCAACTGAGTTCTGGAAATGACTGAAGCCTTAATAATGGAGGAACACTTTCTAAAGCCAAGCCAGAAAAGTGTGAAGCTATCGGCCCAGCCACAGCAAAAAAGATACGATGGGGTTTATGTTATGGTCAGCAATACCCTGAAAGATCAACAGGACGTCCAAGAACCTCCGAGTGATCCACACGGATGCCCTTGTTAAACGTACGGCGGGAAAGAGAGCAAGATGGGTCGAAAATTGCGCGACTGATGTCTAGGGTAGGGGAAACAGTGGAAAGTCTACTAGACATAACATTGAAATCAAAAGTTCTCTACGTCATTCTGAACGGATTCGTAATTACGGCGACAAAATAGACGTACGCGAGCTAATACACTAAGTATATGGCAAGGATAAT